AGGAACTTATTGCCATTGTATAGTAATATCATCATCATTCATCATCATTGCCTTGCCTTTATCCCATTATTTGGGGTCGGCGCAGTATGTCATTCTCTTCCACTGATCTCTATCAGTCGTCATATCTAAACATACTCTTCTTTTATTCCTATCATCTTTCACACAATCCATCCATCTTTTCTTAGGGCGTCCTCTCCCTTTACATTGTATAGTAATATAATGGTTTAAATGTGGATACTAAATTATGTACAACTTTGTTCTTTACTTACAATGACCATGCCACTTGGTATTTAATGATTTTGGTTTCCAATTTCTGACCTGTAGAAGATCTGAAAAAAGAGACTCAATGCATTTAGTAAATAAGTAATAAATACATGAAGGTCCTTTATTTCAGCCATTCACAAGTTACTGTGAAACTTAAACCAAAGACGGCGGACTTTGGCTTAAGAACGTTTGTTTTGTTATTGGTTTGGTTTCAAGAACGATTCAGAACCATCCATATTCATTGACCATTGCAATATAGTAGTAGTTATAGCTCAATCTATTCTTAAATGCACTCAGCATTTCATATAACACACGATATGAAAACAAAAAAATCATAATACATACTAACGGAAACATGTTAGTACAGACAGTATATCTGATTTATTACTTGTATTACATATACTTATGGCGCTTTTTTAGACAGCTACTAAAACAGTACTAATATTGCGTACGCGAAAGTGTGTCCGTCTGTCTACCTACTATTGCATGTTACTTTTTCACAACTAAACGGCTGAACGGATTTTGATTTGAAGGTGTGATGTACACAAAGATAAACATAGTCTATCTTTCATCGTATAAAAGCAGATGAACTCTCACGTAACAAGTAGTCTAGAAATAAATCTCGTATTACCAACGAAATTATGAAACTTGACCTATCAGGTAAACCTCTTAAGCAAGTTTGTAAAGCCACCCAAAAAAACTCAACATATCCGCTGCTGGTGCGGTAGCTTGGAGGCGATAAACGATGATTAATGTTACACCTCACCCCTCAGCAGTTCAGTTCTTGTAAAACAGATACCAAAAAAATATTAAGTGTTCTTCCTAGTATTAATTGTCCAGTTATATGCATTATCTTGTATTTATTTCTTCACCTTTCAGCTAGTACTTTCTCGTCTATTTTAAACAGTCCTATCTATGTAGTTTTATATTTATTCTGTTGATAATAGTATTTTACCCCTGATATACTATCAAGAATTATTTACTATAATCTACAGAACAGATGTAGATTGTACAGATTTTCCATCCTGAACATGACTATACAATACAATACTACTCCATTTCAAGACATCAGAAGCAAGGAGAGTATACCTCAAACTCACTGGTGAAAAAGCAAAGCATGTTTTTTTTCTATCTGTTCTACAGTGGAACAAAATAGTAAAACAAAGGGGAATACACGTCGACCTAAAAAGCGAAATGGTAATGCTAGACGAACTTAACTGCTCCCTCGAATGTTGCCTGTCACCTTATTCTGAAATAATGATAAACTAGATATTAACCGCGCCTTCGTCTCCTGTTTTTGAGTTATAACATATGAAAATGGATATAGGCTATATCCATCTTCAGGGTATTATTATCTCTCTCTATATCTGTCTTCAGTAAACTCCGGTTCCATTCGGTAATTTAGTCGTAAATAAATATATACATACAAACACAGGTCAACAGATAAACAGTCACATGTATGAATATATTAATATTCTTAGTAAGTTTCATTCTAGGGATTTCATAATAGCTATATATACAAAGTACATAAGTACAAGTGGATTTATCCAACAATGCAACGGAGGTGATATACCTTTGTTTATTTTATTTAGCTTAACTTAACTTAACTACGATGACACCTACATCCGACTGATTACAATGTACCTACCTACTTTTTATTTGAAGGATTGTAAGTATATTTAGGTGTTAGTTATATTTAATAAAAAAAATTGAATATGCTGCATGCTTATTAAATTTTTTGGTAATGTTATTACTAGCCCTGCTACTAATTACATAAAGCAAAATAATAACTTACATTTCAAGTACTTTTCGAAGAAATGGGTAGTAGGTAAATGGTTTATTTTAAAACAGGCAAGTAATTTAGATCTGAACGTTTGTACTTGGAATAAGAAACTGTGTTCGAAAATATACAACCAGTTAATTAGTTTTTCGTTTTCTAAAACGTAACTAGTAGTTTCATGTCGAACGTTTGATTTCGGAATAGGGGCGCAGGTTGAATATCCGTTTCGTTTGTAATAGACCGCAGCGCTTTTACTTCTCCACTCATGTTCCTCAAAAGGTTGTCAGGGTTTTAACACGTCAGCGTCGATGGAAATACGACGTTTCAATTCGTTTAAATAGAACCTACACCAAGGATTTGCTTTAAACGCAAATGAACTATTTAGCCAAAAGTAATTTAAATGTCGTTAAATTTAGAGTCCGATAAAAATAATCCACTCACATACCACCGTAAAAAGTGCCAATTTTAATTATGATTATAGTTAAAAATTATGGATACTTTTAATACAATTTCAATTTATTCAGGCATCTTCAAACACATATTTGGTATAAGAAATATGAAATATTCATATCATTTATACATATTATACTACCATATCATACAAACTCAGACAACCGAATGTAGCTCTGTACCTTTTTTTATTTGAAGGTAGGTTATTTGGGTCCTATTATTAGCTATGTTTTATGAAAATCTCTACTGATTTACAGAAGAATAAGATCTACAGTATCTGAAGATCTATTTGAGCAATTGATTTAATTCAATTTGCATATTTCAGGAGTTTCTAAGTAGTTTCATAGCACAATTGGACCTAGTAAGGAGCACTGTGCTGCCATATAAGACAACATCTAACGGATCCGATAAATATTATAACTAATATTATAACATCAAATAAATTGATATTAACAGTAAAAACTAACTTATTTCTGTGACGTTGAAAATCATACTATTAATGTATGATTTGACAAATTTTAGAATTTGGGTTTCTATTTTATATTTCTGAAAATTATAATTTTTAAATAAACTTTCATATAAATGGGAGACATTGGTTTCATTGCGGTCAAAGCTATTTGAAACAGGTTTATATTGGCAACACTGAATATACATATTTTAATATTGCAAAAAAGTCATTCCTAATATTTTTGCAAATCACGATAACACCACTGAAGGAAGCGTACAAAAATAGAAACCCCGTATTTGTTCTTTTGTAACCGCCTTGCAATATGCTAAGTGGTATACATGTATATAGTATTGTATAGTTTCCTCTACTCTGTAACGCAAGTCAGTGGTACCCAACGCTGCCTATTGTTACATCGTTTGTCTAGAAACCTATATAAATATATGTGAATTGTGGTGTTATAATATGTATTTTATATTTTCGTTGCTGTATTCCGTATAAGAACCACTATAAGCAATAATATGATACCATCACGGTACGAAACACAATACTAAGTCTCAGTTTCGCCTTTCTACGAAGAACTAACTCGAGACTGAATTAAATAAAGCCCTTATCGTAAAACCGGGATCAATATCTACGAACATTTCAAAAAGGTTTTCATAAATGAGGTAAAAGAGACGCAATCAGTGTTATCGAATAGACGGCTCGTGTCTACTGCAGTCCCCAGGTTCTTTGAACTCGTACTTATCGACCCTAAACTTGAACTGTGACCTTTCGACACCTCCCCATGAATTTTCCATTCGCTTCCATTCAATTTCAGATTATTATTTCAAAATGTCTTCTTTTTAATACTGATCCAATAAATCTAATAAGATATATGTAGGCGTCTCTATTAATAGATTCCTATTATAAGTCATATTTGTTTTCTTGATAAATATTAAATATAAAGAGCAATTCGCCCAATTCGCCTACCATCCATTTGAGTAAACAAATGGCTGAAAAGGACTAGATTTTCCATTTAATAGATAATAAGAAAATGATCCACTTTATTAAGTCTGTAAAACAATTGCAAATATTAGGGTATAATATTAACCACGTGCTCGTGTAATAGTAACTCAATACAGCGTAACATACGCACGTAACTGTTACTAAAAGATTATTAGTACCAGTACAAATAACTACGTAAATATTCGTAGTATAAAAATGTTTTGCAAAGTGTGGAACCTAAAAATACTCCTACACGTGGTCACGCGCTCGAAATAACACCGAACTGATGATGTAGCTATTTATTTTATGTGTTAATGACATCTACTATTCTTTCATTGATCCATAAAATTTCTACCTCACTATCGTATAAATCTCGCCCCAAATCATGGCTCTTTAGTTAGGTATTCATAAAATGGCGTCATCGTTGAATAAAGGTTTTCGACAGGTGGAATGGTTAGGTCGCGACAGCAACTTCGCCTGCAACAGCGATAGACCGCATAAACATAGATAGGTACCACTTGCCACTAGGCACGCGGCCTCCCCCTGCTGACCTTTAAAAGCATCTCCCGCGGGAGAACGTAATCGCGCCGCATTAGCACGCGGCGACATATCCCTGAAACGGTCTCATAACATCGAAGCGCTTTCAGTTCCACTCGAGTGCGGATTAGCGCTCGTTGCGAGCGCACCTGTCTAGGTGGGCGAAGCAAGGCGCGCACTGCTGCAAGCGGGCGGCGCGACGGCGCGTCCACTGTGCGCATGCGTACTGGCCGCTATTAAAAAATGAATTCCTGGTTCCCGCACTGTGAGCCGTACGTTCACCGACGACGCCGCGTTTCGCTCGCTATTTTTGCGCGGTGAGACCGGGACCGCGCCCGAGGCTGGGTCGTGCAGAAAGTGCCGGGGTGTGGTCGTGTGAGAGTGCAGTGCGTGCGAGGGGTCCCATGCGGTGAGGGCGCCTCGCCACCGGCAGCGCCAGCAGCGCCGGGCGGGGTGATGCGCTCAGCGGGCTGCTAGCGGCCGCGGCATGGCGCGCCGCGCCGCCCGCGCCCGCGCCCGCCTCACCACTCACACACCATGAGCGACTTGCAGGCTACCTTCGAGTTCTCCGTAGAACTTTACAAGTTCTACAATGTCGACCTCTTCCAAAGAGGGTTAGTAGTCAGTAGAAGTAGTTAGGTTTCTTGTTCCTCAAATATTAAGCGATCGTCTTACAAATCTTGCTATTTGTGATGAATTATGTTGCGTATCGGTTTACAAAACCCATTATTGAGATACAATGATAAATTACCTATTAAATATAAGTAAAAGGATGTATCTACAGCTTCTGACTGAATAAACAGTTTTATATTGCACAGTGGCCGCTATAATGACTATTCTACTTATACCGGTACCAACGAACATGAGTAAAACTGCAGTGAATGCCAAAAACGTTAATGTGCAAAAAACAAATACTTATAACAATCAGTAATATTACCTACATATATAAATATTTTGTATTTGCTAATTAATTGAATTTACCCAAAAATCAAAACATTTTCTGTAATTTTACGTAATCATGTACAAATACGTACTAAACGTCTAAGCATATCACGGAATTTATATAAATATTCAGGTCGATGTCAAAATTTTAATTAGCAATGAAGTTACCGACGTGCTACATATGTAAGAACGTAAGTAATCTAAGCATTAATTCAAGTAATTGTGATAAAAATCAAATCAGATAAATATTGTCACACATCAATTATATAGGTACGTAATTATAATTTACAATATAATGCATAAAAATATTATCTGAAGGCTCCATTATCGAGGTGCCAGAATATGAATATTTTTAAATTAGTACTAAGAAACGTAAAACGAAACAGTCTTGTTCTTTTGTCGTCTTATATATGTATATCTAACAACAATTTTTAATCACTTAAAAATAAAAACCTCAAACGTTTAAAGAAATCTTTATTAAGTATTTAACCATTTAGGTATTTCTTTCCATCTATTTTCTACGTTTGAAAAAATCAATAGTATACTGTATTTCTAGGCTATTTGTTTGTTTTTTTAGGATTAGAATTATTCGATTACTATGTAGAATGGATAACTCTTTCGCTTAAATCATCGTTATTAAAATTGTACCTTTATATAAGTATATAGCGGAGTAATAGGGTTATCAATAATGAGACTGGCCCCATTACTTGCAATATCAAACCCCAAGCGATCTCCCTGAAAATGTGGTTATTTCCTGCTGAAATCGCTATGGTGGTTGACTTTATTGTCATCTTTTACTGGTCACCTGCCAGCATATACCTTTAACACATCTGGGACTGCCATTCCATGATCAACCATAAAAAATTATATAAGTACATAGATACTAAACAGTACACATATGTGTATACAAACTAGTTTAGCAAGTTTACAACACAATGCGCTATAACTAGAGACAATGAGAACGAATACCCAGAATATTTAATTGCGTAGATCCTTTGGCCATATTGGTTTGGACATCAAGTTGTCACAAGTAGTTACCATTACCTACGTATTGGAGATCTCTTGGGAAAAACTTTGCTTATAGAAACGCAATGAAGCGGTAACCTCTTAATTGGATTGGAATAGTTGTTTAGGTAACATGAATTATCAAAATAGTCGATACATATCAACATAAACTCTCATTCGATTAATCTAGTAGTTAAATCTAACTACTCGATTAACCGAATGAAAATTTGTGTGAATTAAAATAAGACAACACTGTAGTGTTAGATTAAATAGATAAAGTATATAGTAATATTAGTGTTAGTACATATGCCAAGTTTACAATAATTTATATTCATTATGGACGGACACACGTAAGCAATTGGTTGGTGCAGGAATTCCGTATATCGAATTTTCGTATACAAATAGAAAATTTCTATAAGAACTGTGTAAGTAATAAAATAATCATAATAATTGTCTGACATAAGCCTCAATTCTCAAAAACATATTACCTTATCAAAGGATATTATACAAACTGATTTCACTAGGAGTACAAGCGATTTTTACACAACATTCACCTAAAAGAACGTAGTGAACTGCATTTTGTAAAATATTTGCAATGACTATCTTATTACTAACTGTTGACGAAGAATTTATGCCAACACGTAATTATATTTAAACAATACACAAATGGAATGTTATTTTGTACCGAGATTTTTAGTAAAGGTACACATATTTTTTTTACAATTTTCAACTGCTTACTGCCAACACGTATCGCTTGCGTCAACTGCTTTCCTATGGTTCTTGTAAATAGATATAAAAGAACCATAGGATCGTACAATATGTATGTTTATTTTAAATTTGTTTATTATAGTATCTTTACATATATAAAAAATTTGAAAAGATTGTTGTTTTATAGATAAGGGTTTTTTTATTTAATTCTAATAGAAAACAACAACAAACAATCTGGCGGCCCACCTAAGGGTAAATTGTAACGGTCGCCTATATACACGAACAGCGCTACTTCCATTACTTTGTCATGTGATGATGTCCACTATATAGTGCATGCGCTGCCATTCCGGAGATCCAAGATGGAATGCTTCTAATCCTATGATTTCTCTGCCTAATCTCACTCTTCCTTTAATTTGAACCTATCTTACAAAGCAAGCTGCTTGGCGACTGAAATAGGTTAGACTAAGGTACCCACGCAAACGATTTTTTAAACGTCTACTTCGAAAACGGCTTCAAAAAAGTAATAGAACAATATATGTAAGTTAAATACTTCTTTTTTCCTAAACCATCAACTATGTATAAATCTATGTATTTGGCTAAAAATATCATCCATACATGTAATCTCTACGTTATTTAGGACAACTAACTAATGTTTCTTGATTACAAAACATTCCAGTACATTTCCATTCCACTAGCATTTCGTGCCAATACTACATTATTCAGATGACAGCCCGGGGGCTTGTGGATTGTTTGAGTTTACGAGCCCCAATGGCAACTATACTATTTCTTTAACGGAATAAAAAGAGTCATAAAAATATATGACGTCTACCCTTGTCGTACCCAAAAGGCAAAACCTACGTCTTCAAAATACGGGATCCCTAAGGGCCTTCGCACACGAGGTCACCTCGATGTATACTGTATAGTCCGTCATAATTTTAAATTTCGTTTAAAATAACAGCTGCAATTTTAAAATGACAAAATTAGTATAGAAGCAACATGCTACAAGATCTAAACGACTTTTTAAATAAAAACCATAGTTGAAAATATCAATTTAAAGTTCATTCACAAAAATATATATACGCACATCAAAGAATAAGTAGATATAAAAAAATAATACATTATCAAATTTTGTACAGACAGCAGATCAAATAAATACATAATTTCCAAAATTAGTTTTTTTTTATTAAAACTATAACAATAACATTAATAGAATATATACAATAAAAAATATCTATAGAATCATACTAAATAATAAGTCGTGAAAGAAAAAATGCACGCAACACCATGCCAATCATGACGTGATATTTATGTAAACATATTAAATGCTACATGACTGCGGTAAATTATTTTGATTTCAATTTTAACAGCAGACATACCGTGCTATATTATTCAATCTAATTGCTATTTTATTTGATGTTGCTGTTATGATTTTTTTATACTACGTCCCATCTGTTGGTAAACGGTTACCGTAGCATATGGACGCCTGAAACACCAAGAGTTACCAACTCTTAATAACCTTCATATACTCTTCTTGAAAAACCAATGCTGTAATCTCGCAAAAAAAATCTGCAGGCAGTTATATTCTTCATTTACAAAAATTTTTAGTAGATTTTAATGTAAAATACTCAAAACAACGCGATATACGCCGTGATGTGGAGGCGAAATTAACATATTTTTTTAATGGATGATATTGATATGGTCCACCTGCCGGTGCTAACAGCTGACGCTGGCGGATAATAGGATGAGCATGAGATCAGTTCAGTTAGCCCATCTTGACAAATTCACCAGGAATTTATCACGATGGTTTCCAGGGGGAATCGCGTGGGAGTCAACATATTAACATGGTGCATTGCTAGCAATGGGGTCCACATCAATCAATCAGTCCACATTACTAACAATTTCCTTCCCCCCGAAATAACAACTTACTGTCAGCTTGATAGACCACTATCATTATCTTAATCTTAATATAATAATATTATAAGGGCGAAAGTTTGTGAGTATGGATGGATGTTTGTTACTGTTTCACGTAGAAACTCCTGAACGGATTTTGTTGAAATTTTAGTGATATTGCTTATACGTCAGAATAACAGACACAAACTGCGGGCACAGCTAGTATATAATAAAAATGAAAATCTTTATACAACAAGGGCGAATATTCATACGGGTTAAGAAGTTAATAACGACACGCGCGACCAAAGCCGCAGATTTTTCTATTGCTAATGACGTAACATGTAACATTGATACGTGATAGAATTCGAAATGAGTATATTTGAATAAGAATCAAAGCAACCGATATCCTATCTCGTAGAATCGTTATTAACGACCGCTATAGGCAAACTTTACTTAATGCGATCCTACTAGATGGAGTCACTCTTTAAATAACATTCATATTGTTGTTACACTATCGAAAATATATTTGGCAACAACATAATTTTACCCTAACGATACTAATATAAAATATTGTTGTAATGTTGCAAAAACAGCATAAAATCATGGAAAATATTATAGAATATGTAGCAAGTATAATGTTATATTATTATATTAATAAGATTTACATGCTGTATATATTACATTATAGTGTGTATATCTAAAAATTTTATATCTCTCTGCGTTATAATAAATTCATTTATAATTAATTAAATGTTTCATTCATAAATTAATGTTCATCTCAAAGGTAGAGCAGATATTTACATATATAATTTATTGAAAGGGTCATTAAATTATAGTACTTAAGTAAAATGTATATAAAGTAATATAATATATTACTCATACAAGACTAAAAAGATTGTAAAAAAATACTTGAAGAGAAATAGTATAGAAATAAAGCTATAGATTATAGATAGATAGAGTAAGCAATTTGGAGTTAGAAGCACAACTATTAAGGCCCATTGCTACAAGAGAGATTTTATAGAAACCGACTGAATTTGAGTGACGATAATTGACAATAGCATAAATTTAA